AGTTTGTCTTCCATACATTTCTTCTGATCTGCAGCTTGCTGATGTCCTCACAAAAGGCGTTGCAAAGAATAAGCTGGAGCATGATCTACGCAAGTTGGGGATGTRTGASATCTACTCCCAACTTGAGGGGGAGTGTTGAGTGGGCCGACTTGTGTTTATTTTATTTTCTTTTAAATTAAGATGTTGTTGGGCCTTCGGCCCATTAGTCTTTTATTTTTTAAAGAGTTGCAATTATTTAGTTTGAGTTGCCGCCCTACTAATGGCATCTTTGTAATATCTCATATTTATGCTAATTATAAATAGAATGAGGGGCTGGTGGCTAGGGTTATGATACCCAATCCTAGTTGACCTTCTTCTTCTTTTCTTCCTCTCGTCTGTCTATTGCTGAAATCTACTACTTTCTCCTCTTCCTTTCACAAGAAGCTTGGCCGAATCAGCACATAAGGCTTTCTACTAAGACCACAATCCTGCACTGAATGAATTATTCATAACATCTTTGTTGTGGTTGCTGCACATCAAACAACTGCATGCCATGTGGAAGCCATGATCATTCAAATGGTCTATTGTCAAAATGGAATCCAGAGAAACCGTGAAGCAAAAGCCTTGATCCGAGTCATACCATGTAAAGTTGAAATGTAATTTTTGAGGACTACTAAGATTGGCTATGCATTATGGAGGGGAATGTAAGACAATAGATATCCTTGGTTGGGCATGCCTGAGATCTATGAGCTATGATTGTCTGTGGTAGTAATGGTCAAAATAAAATAACTGTCCAATTGAACTTACAAGTAGCCTCATTGGTGGAATTAGTTATAGTTGTCAATGGTAGTTGGTCATGTGCAACAATTGATTAGAGTTGGATTTAAATATTGGCAGATCAAAATGGGACCCTTAAAAGACTGAAACTGGAATTCCTGTACTTGACGATTTGGGGTCCTTGTGTGGAGCCTAGCAAGCTACCCACAAAGAGCAATGGGATCATCCAGTTCTGGAGGAAGAGGTAGTGATAGGGGGAATCTGGTTTCTGTGCACTTTCAAGTTTGGTGTGTGTGTGTGTGGGGGGGGGAGTAAGCCAATAAGTTATGACAGGATAGCTTGGCCAGAGTAAGGAAGATAAGGAGGACATAGAAGCGCTTTATGCTTTAGTACCATTACTAAAGCATGTTATAGTTTGATGGGTGTTGTTTGGGATTCACTGGACCTTCAGGTACTGTGGGATCCATTTGCTTACAGAAGGGATAGGAACACAATTTGGGCTTTTGGTGTACCTGTTGGAGAGGCAATTTAACTTTGGCTGATGTCATAGCATTCCTGTTCGACCTGAAGATAGTGGGGGTCTTTTCAAAATGCAGTCAGTTGAGGCAAAGGTTTTGGGAGGGTATTGTGGAAACTCTGGAATTTTTTTAATGAGATTGAACTTTTTAGTCATGGTTCTATGTTTTTGGATGATTCAAGGGAGCTTAATTTAATTGCCAGAGTTAATCCTTGGTTGGGGTCAATTGCCATAGGAATTTCTATAGCTTTAGTAATGCTTGTGGAACTTGTAATGGACTCAGTTTTTGTTTTCTTTATTTCATTTTTGTATCTTCATTGTACATTGTCTTATCTTAATTCCCTTTATATATTAAATAATAATATAGTTCTTTTATTTGTTTCTTTGTTCTAAATGTATCTAATAAAGTAGAGTTTATTTGAACTAACATTAAATTTAAATGTAGGAAATGCATAAAGAAGTTTTACAATTATACTTCATGGCTGAACTTTTATAGAAAATAATTGGGGTTTCCAGATAATGGTTTTATCAAAACTTGTTGTAATGGCATGAGGTAGCTCATTTATTTTAGTTTGGTGCAAATATTTATCAGGAAGTCTCATGATTGTTTATTCATTTGCAGCTTTTAACCCGTCTAGTTTTTGAGCGTGGCAGCACCGATGCCGCTGGAAAGGTAGCAGATATCATGTGTGCTGATTTTGTGCATGAAGTTATCTCAGCTTGTGTGCCACCTGTGTATCCTCCACGTTCAGGTCATGGCTGGGCCTGCATCCCCATGCTTCCTACTTTTTCTAAGACTCGCCTGGAAAATAAAGCATTTCTCTGCTCTTCTAAAGAAGCCAAGTCAAGTTCATATGTCCCTTCCTCAGTGAGACCTGAAATCCCACTTTACCCTCTACAACTAGATATAGTGAAACATTTGGCTAAATTATCTCCAGTGAGGGCTGTCTTAGCATGCGTTTTTGGGAGTAGCATGTTATATGGTGGTAACGAATCATCTATGTCCAGTTCCTTGTACGATGGATCAGTACAGTCATCTGATGCTGATAGGTTATTCTATGAATTTGCTCTTGATCAATCTGAAAGGTAAGTCAGATAACACTAGATGGGCTAAGAAATAATTCCTACTTAATATTCATGGGATGTCTTAATTTTACCTTCTAATTTGATGGACAGATTTCCAACTCTGAACCGATGGATACAGATGCAGACAAACCTTCATAGGGTATCAGAATCTGCTATAACATCTAAGCAGAGTACTAACAATGGCAAAGTGAAACCTGAGGTAAAAGCGGCCGTCAAGCGATTACGTGAACCTGACAGTGATACTGAGTCAGAATCTGATGACAATGTTGTCAGCAGTCATGCTTCTACGACTTTGCCAGAATCCAATAATCAAGGCAATGCAACTTCTGACCCTTGGAGAGATGCCCCAAAATCTGAGAATGTTGAACTTGATACAACCACCTTTCTTTCTTTTGATTGGGAGAATGAGGGTCCATATGAAAAAGCTGTTGAGAGGTAAACATCTCTTTCCTTTTTTTTATGAGGATCAGAAATTTTATTATTGTAAAGGATATGTGTACGGATTAAACAAAAAATTTTGCAACAAAAAGGTGTGCAAAGGGTTGTGAACATCTCTTTCCTTGTGCTTCCGTTTAGATTCAAATGATTTAACTATAACAGTTTACTTTCATTAATTATTAATCCAAATGATTAACTCCACTCAAATTCCTCATGTTAAAACCACTATTTTAAAAGGCATTGGAGGCGTATGCCTCAGGTGCAAGAGGCATACATCTCATATGCCTTTTGCATGAAGCGTGCTTGAGGTGTATGCTTCATGTGCTTCATGCACACCTCATACAAAAGGACAGAAAGAAAAAAAAAAAAGAAAAAGAAAAGAAAGGAAAGGAAAGGAGAGGATAAGAAAGGGAAGGAACAAAAAAAGAACAAAAGAAAGAAAAGAAAAAAAAAAGAAGAAAAGGAAGGGGAAGGAAAGAGAAAGGGAAATAAAAAAAGAAAGATGATATCCTCCTTCCTTTTTCTTCTTCTTAAGGAGGGTTACACCTTCTTGTCTCGGGAGGCTCACGCCTCTTACGTTTTGAACTACGCCTCATGCCTCCAGGTATTGGAGTTGTTACAAGGTTAATGGGTTTGGTGGTGGGTCAGGGCGGGTTTGGGCTGAATCCAACCCATTTAATTTCATTGAAATGGGTCATTAACAGGTGGTCAGGTTAAGCAGTTTGGGTTAAATCTCAACCCAAATCCAGCCCGCCCTTTTGCCACCTCTAAAGTTAGGAAATTGTAGAGAAGATGGGCCGAATGGCCATAGGCTGTTACTGTATATTATCTTTATGTTCTTCTCTGTAATGGGCCTTATTCTGGGCCCATACTCTTCTATGTTCCTTTTTTGTAATTTCTTGTCCAACTAAGGACCTCTCTTGTAATTACTAAAAGATTAACTTAAT